TACTTTTTCATACAGTACCTGCCAAAAGTTTTGTTCAATCATGAATAGTAGTGCGAGTCGAAAACAAGCGTTAAAGCCTTTAATATGTCTTCAAATATAAATTAACATCTCGTTGATATTTTCAGTAGTAAATGGTACCAATAACAGCACATTTGAGCAATGCAATTGTGGTGGATAAAATGGTCAATTTTTCCGTGCAGTACTGTACGGATTATACGCTCTCACCGGTTAAGAGTTTGGCCGAGAGTTGTCTCTTTCCTTTTCTGGCCTAGTGCTGTTCTTTTCTACTTTGCGCCTGTCAAACTGAAGGTTACATCGCTACAGAAAGTAAACGAAGTATAACTTTATTTAATTTATCTCTAGAAAACATATTTAAGAAATTCTATGAGGCATATCCCATGTATCTTGCAAGGTACCTACCAGATAGATAATAATCAACCAAAAATGCACACAATAATTATAAGGGTTGGTAAGCACAGCTACATATCTATTTTACTTCGTAATTTTGTAAAGATTAGACTACAACGTGAAGTTTTTTTATATTAAAGAAAGGCTCCGATGTATTTGCCACGGGTCTTAGATGCTAATATACGAGGGTGGATTGATAAGTTTCCGGCCTGACCAAGAAAAACAAGGTTTTTAAAAAATTTTTTTTTTTATTTCTCAACATAATCTCCTCCAAGNAGAGGGGTAGAGGTAGACCTAGATTAGATTACTCTTCGCAAATAGTTAAGGATGTGGGCTGTTCTAGTTTTAGGGAAATGCGAAGTTTAGCTTAGGATAGGAAAGAGTGGAGGTACGTGTCCAACCAGTCTAAAGACTGATGATGTTGATGATGGGGAATGTACTTCGTGGAAGCAGTTTGTGACTAGTCATTACAAAATTAAGGAAAGGATTGCAATTATAATGAGAAACAGAAGGAAAATGCAAATTTCTTATTTTATATTTCCATCTCTAACTGGAGCTTTTCTATACACATGTACAACTACACCAAGAGTTGTAAGGCGGATTTTTCAAAAGATAACTTTTAAGTCCCGTGGAAACCACGAAAGTTTTCCTACGCAAACTTTTCAAATAAATGTCTTGTTAGAATTCTTATGAGAGCCGACGTAATCTAGTTAACTCTGTTATTAAGCGAGAATGAAAAGTTAGCCAGGAGCAAGGAGTAGAAAAAAAAAACCGAAAGTAATAAAGATCTTTCAAAAAATTAAAAAATTTTAAGGGTGCAGTTAGACTCGGGCCAGTACGTATTCATCACTGTTATTAAAAGGATAATGGGAACCTGAGGGACCTCAAATATTCCTAAACGGCTTTTAGACGGAAAAATATAAAAAGGGTGAGACGATTAAATCAAATTACGCTTAACAGTTTACGTCATACCGTTAAAATGATTAATAAAGTTAAATGAAGTTGTTATTTCTTAAGGTTAATACACGCCTTTGAACTTAATCTATTACCAATACCTAGATACTTGTGAAAGACTTAAGTAATGTCTTTCTTACGGAATTTTGTACAACGAAAAAACTCATGCAACAAAACCTAAACGAGTCTATATTGCAGCTTTATTAGGCGCAACGCATCGACATTATTCAATCATGAAAATGTTATCCTTTATGTGTTTTTATACTTGCTTGTGACCTAGAGTAATAGGTCTAGTAAACTTCTGCCGTCGATCTCGATCGATAGTTAGACCTGTCGCTCGACGATTTTGTTTTTTATGACATACGGTCCATATAAACCATCAATTTTCAATACCAAAAGCATTAAAATAATGGCGGTAACATGAAGCGAACAGTTAGAACCCATATCGGTTAGTGAGAATAATGCTGGAATTCAGCGCTTACACGAATTACAAACAAATGTTGTAGTTCAGATATTGTAATAAATTTCGGCGTTATTGAATTTATATCTTCATAATTGTTGTTTAACCTGCTCGACAAAGTGGGAAGATCTAGGGGAACTCAAAGGTCAGTAGCATTAAAGATATCCCCTACATAAAGAAGGAAAAATATACCTCAACAAGACTGAGAGAGATGTTTTGTTATTGTCAAGAATATTATATTAGTAAGACAAGGTCAACTACGTGAGTGCAGGTTTTTAACTGTAACTCGAGAATTATTTAGGAAATTTCGGCGAGTGACAGAAATTTGAAAACACTGAGGGTGAGTTATTAGAACGAAGTTTCTGACAAAATGGTGTTATATAATATACATCAAGTAAATGAAACAGTAACTCGTAGTTCTCCATTCTAATTTATTTTTTAATTTTTTTTCTTGCGGCTTTCCTTCAAAAATGGTCTTAACTAAAATTGATTCTCGTTTGTTTCAGAATCCCAATAACAGCATATATTTAATATTGGTAAGTAGTCTTTAAGTTTCTTATTTCTTTTATATTGTATATATATATTTGATTTCTAAGTATTAGAATTAATGAATTACACTATCTTACGTCTACAACGGTTGCAAAGTTTTTGATTTCGGATTTCTAACACGTCTGAAAGCCCAAAATGCATATAATAAATGCAAAACATGCAACATAGAAGGTAAATGTCTAGATGATGGTGGGTGGTATCGAAAGAGGAGGTCTCCTCCACCACTGTACCATAAAAAGTTCGTGGCGGTCTCACCCCCATAAAAAGTTATGGGGGTTAGATGATAGCCCCCCACCTCCTTCGGGGGTAGGGCTAGGGGGGATCGAAAGAGGGTGGTCACCTGAGTAAAACCCCATAAAAAATTATGGGGGTTGAAGGTTGATTATTTTGACAATTTTCATACACTATAATTCAAATAAAATTCAATAAAAAAATATTTTCAGACGGGTGGAGGTGGGGGATCGAAAGAGGGTGGTCACTTGAACAAAACCCGACAACCTAACCTAACCTAACCTACCCTATTGATAAAGATATTTAAATAATGTTTTATATAACTTTCTCAATATTTTTATGTATTTTTCATTAGTTTTACCATTGAATATTGTTTAAGAATGACTATATAAATATTTACATGCCTAGAAATGTATAAAAATTGGCATATTTATTAACTTTGAACCCTTATAACTTTTTATGGGGGTGAGACCGCCACGAACTTTTTATGGTACAGCGGTGGGGGAGACCTCTTTCGATCCCCCCCATTTCCACCCCGTTCGGGGATGGGGGCCACCATCTAGACCTTACCACGTAGAAGAAGGTACTTTAATATGTTCTTACCACTTCCGGGTACATATATATTTAAAAAGAGGCAATCTTCGCTTTGATTAACGAGGAGAGGCAAGAGCTTTTTCAAAAAATTGTAGCGTCCCTTTGGCATTTCCATTAGTGCGGCAGTTTTGTTGCTCAGATCCGGGTATTTTTGAGGACAGACGGTCCCGAATGTATCCGCCAGTCTCGTACCCGGCCACTTAAGGGGCGGCTGCGGTGGTGCGAAACGTAACGGTCCGATAGGTGGCGCGGCGTACGGCACTCCGCGAAACACTTCGACGGGTTCGAGGTGGCGCGAATTAAGTTCGAGAATAATTCCGCGTATGGCGCCCGTTTGAATTTCAACTATGCGCGAACTGTAACGGGGACCGGAAACAACGACGTCGATATAAATCAACAGCAGAAATGCTACAGGCCATGTAGTAAACATGGTCTGAATTCTGCGACCGGTTGAGCATCACTTTGACCGTCGTTCAATGGTGATTGAAGGGCTATCGGAATGTGACGACAGCTTCCCCTGAAACACACAGATCCCCAATAGTCAGGAAATATTTAACAGTAAGATAATTGTTAGGAAATTATGCCTTTATAAACAATAATACAACTAAGCAGGAAGCGTTCGAATCGATTTTAATAGTTCTGTTAGGAAATACTTCATTACAAGTATTTCAGATCTTTTAATCAATTTTTCCCTTAACCAAAGTACAGTGTAATTATTAAGTTTTCTGTGTTTAACAGAAAATAAAAGAAGAAGAAGTCGCTAATACCCAGTACCTGGGAAGTCACATAATTTTTAGAATGGAAGGAGTAATAGAGATATAAAGCAAACGATAGCGATAGTCGAGTCGCTTTTAACAAAAATAAGTCACTTCGATGTTTGCAAACTGTTATTTTAGAAATTTGAAAAAGCTTTTTGTACGAAACGTGGGCGATGGGCGCGGTGGAGCAAAAAGGCTAAAAACATTCGAAATGTAGCATTACAGGCGAATAATGACACCGTGGATGGAGAAGGTTAGAACTGATGAAGTATTAAAAAGAGCAGGAGAACGGAGGACGCTGTGAAAGTCAATAAGAAATACGTAAGATAGGTTAGTAGTACGGCTAGTTAGGGACATATTAAAGGCAAAAAACAGGAGTTATGAGGTGTGGAGGTAGATTGAGATTAGATTATCATTTAGAAATAGTTAAGGATGTGGGAAGTTCTATTTTTAAGGAAATGCGAAGATTAGCTCAGGATAAGAAAGAATGGATGTGCGTGTCCAACCAGCTATTTAACCAACCCAAATACGTTACTTTCACAAATTGGTAGAGACTTTTGCGGCTAGTAAGTGAACTGATGCTGTTTTCATTCAGATCAGTTGCTTTCTAACGATGTCCACATCCAGCATCGGAAATGTAAGGATCTCTGAAGAAGCTCGCCGCTCGTGTCAAGACAGAATCAGACCACTTTAAATTTTAATAAAATATTGGTTTAGGAACAAGGCATACTACTAGTACGTAATAACTTTGAAGAACTGGTCATCATAAAAAGGTCGTCAGTCCTTAAGACTGGTTAGACACGTACCTCCACTCCTTCTTATCCTGAGCTAATCTTTGCATTTTCCTAAAACAAGAACATCCCACATCCTTTTTGCGAACTGTAATCTAATCTAGCTTTACTCCTCTTAACTCCTGTTTCTGCCTCTAATATGACTACGCCTTTATGCCTGAGAAGGTGTCCTACCAACCTATCTCGCCTATTTTTTATTGACTTCCATAGAGTCCTCTGTTCTCCTATTCTTTCTACTGCCTCTTCATTTCTAGCCTTCTATATCCTCGGTATCCTCATCATTCGCCTGTAACACCACATTTAAAACGCTTCTAACCTTGAAGAATTGCTAGAAGGGTTAAAATAAATCATACTCACGTTTATCCAGTACCACTTGAAACTTTTGCGGCTTTTATCAATCGTATAGTAACCGACGGATCGGAATCCCCTCCGTGTACGAGATAGTTTCCCTGGTCTCATATGCACATAAATTCCGAACAATCGCGCCCAACGGAAATTTTCCCCAACATTCCCCTAAAACTCATCCCATATTTCATGTCTCCTTCATTTGCACTTCCGCGAGCTTCCGTGTCCAACTTTTGCCGAAAGTTTCGGACGAACTTTTTTCTGAACGCGTCCCGTAGGAACGTATCGTCTTAAAACAGCGCCCGCGGAAACTTCAGACCACTTTGAGGCCCCGGTCCGCATCTACTGTGGAACACGTACGCAAAAGACGTAAACATAGCGTGTGTGTGGGTGTTTAAGGGTTTCGTGTTGGGAAGTTTGCACCCCCGATTTATTTAGGTTCGCGTATACGTTGGCCGAATTCCAACTTTGTCTGACATCTGTTTTGTTTCTCACAACAATTCGGTTGTGCGGACGTCCTTCGGATGGACGACGATGTTGATGGTGATGACGGTGGTCTGAATCTGGAACGTTCTCCGTCTTCCAGTAAATCGCGTTGCTGACGTTTTTGCGGACGGCGTGCTAATGGAATTCCATCGTCTTCCTTTGGCCTCAAAGGAACACCGTAATGGCTGTTACGGAGACCTGAAATCATGTAAATTTTTTACGAATAGAGAAAAGGACGAATAAGAGAACGTCCTGTGTTCTTTATAGTACAACTCCACTTTGTTAAAATACAAAAAGGATTTCTTTAGAAATCATCACTATATAATAAATAATTAATAACATTCTATCTGTTGATTGATGCGGGTGTGTTGCTTGCCTAGTGATTTTCCTAAGGAACAATTAATCCTCTTCGGTAAAAGTTAATTGAACGAAGTCGATATGTTTGAATATAACGACCGAATAATAACTTCACGGAATGATAATGGTTCGTGTGATTTTTAACCTTTTTAATTAAACAAAAATTCACTCAAACTAACACCAAAAAATAACTTAACTTGCATGCACGTTATTTTAAATTTAAAACTGCGAATAGTACAAATGTTTTCTTTGTTTAAAAGACATCATGAATTGCGCATCAACACTATCTATCTATCGTTCTAGCTTAAGTAAGGATGTGATGGAAATTGGTGCAGCTGAGACAGCCGATAATAGGATATTTTGAAATTAGTTGGCGATACGTTTAATAAAAGAATGAAACTAAAGATTGTCGTGTTTCTACTCCCGCATTACCTATCGTTTTTATTAAATTAATCTAAAATACTTCAAAATTTATTAATCTTTTATCTTTTATGAATAAAAACGAAGGTGCATTTGTAGTTGTCACAAATATTATGAATAGTGGGTCTATTAATTGATTCCTTTATATTTCTTTTCTGACCAGCGACGTTGACAATTTCTATCAGTAATATTTATTTTGTTATATTATCCGATACGTAAAAGGTAAGGTTGTAAATGTATGTTATAAATATTTCTAATTTTGAACGAGTTATTTGCGAAAATAATAAATGCAAATGGTAGAGAATAGAGTGGCATGTGACCATTTCTGATTACCTATTTCATTTAATTTTTAGCGTTATCATAATTAGCAGGTTCCGCTCGATGGCGTAGCGCTCATGTTATTAATTAATCAAGCCTGGCTGTTGTTGTTGTGCTGGTCTGGTGTATCAGAATTATGCAAATTAAACGGCATTCAACGTAACCGTTCATAAACAGCACCTGCGTCCATTCTCGATTAAGAATTCCATTTCAATGAACCTGATTAAGCCATCGGGTTACGTGCAGGAAGGCGCCCCGACCGACGCGACGGACGGGATGCTAAGGAGATCCCTAACTTCAGGCTGCTGTACCCAAAAGTGACACAGAAACACAGCGATCTCTTGGAGATTGAATTTTAAGTAGTTTATATGTATTATACAGGTTAAAGTTGGAACAAACAAAAATTTTGCTGGTAATTTCTTAAATGAATTGAAGGATTATTACGATGGTACATTTTAATTTATAATGTCTTTCTTTGGTAGCGCGGATCCCGCGGGAATCCCCGGCTTCGATTTTTAAAGGACGTTCATGTGCTGCGCTAGAGTCAAATGAGTGCTATACTTCATTAACTTTCTCTAGCGATGTGCTCCTTCCAATGTCTTGGATGCGCGCTGGCAAAATCGTAGATAGTGAGAAAAAATCTCATTATCCTCTCGACTCTTGTTCATTAAACATACTTTTCCATACAGTACCTGCCAAAAGTTTTGTTCAATCATGAATAGTAGTGCGAGTCGAAAATAAGCGTTAAAGCCTTTAATATGTCTTCAAATATAAATAAACATCTCGTTGATATTTTCAGTAGTAATTGGTACCAATAACAGCACATTTGAGCAATGCAATTGTAGTGGATAAAATGGT